ATAAATAGATAGATAAAAATAAATAAATAAACGATTTAAATGAATAAATAAATAAATAAATGTGGGTGGTTGGCGGGTGCTCTGGTGTGGTTTGCTTCTTCTTTCCTATTAAACATCTATCGTCCTTATCTACCCTCCTTCTTTTTTATGTTTGTTACTCTCTTGTAACACCTCTAATCTTCTGGCACTCATATGACCTTATGCAGGTGCGAGCGCTGTAAAACCTCTACTAAAACAAAACATAAATAGATAATCTGTAACCATTATGTAGAGCATTTCACCACCCCTCATTATAATTTACCCATTGTCCATGATTCACTGTAAAAGCTAAAACGGCAGTGTATGTGGTTAGGCTATATGTGTTTGTTTTCTAGAATTCGGTCCACATCGCGTACCTGTTGAAAAATGACGACCATTTATTTCGATACAATCATACCAGTTTATTCATAAGCGTTACCGTCCGTGTTCTATTTTTTTTTCAAGTCAGACAACGACAAATGCTGTCCTCTCAAGAAAGATGCTGCTGCGCATAATATCTCTTCTCGAAGCGGTCCTCATTAGTTAATTGTTTGTGAGGTAAAGTGGTGAAATCGGGCGTTAGTCAAATTAATAAAATCGACGAAAACGGTATTTTTCTTTTTTTTGGGACAATTTTTATCAAACTTTTTTTTTTTTTTAGCCCAACACCTTTCGTGTCCCTTTCAGAATACTTTGCTGTACGTGTGGCTTTTATTGAAACAAGTTGGTTAGAGACCCAAACATTGTAAGTTTTCTGTTTTCAAGGACTAAAACTATGGAAGTTACCAAACTTTGGAGGCCGTTTTTTCGCAAATTTACCCCTGATACCAGGCGGCACACACCTTCTTCAATCGCAAATACGTCGACTTCCATTCGGAATGGATCGGTATGATTTTTTCATCGAAAGCGACGCAAATGAACAAGATTTCAGATGATACCAAGAACTCCCCATGCCCACAAGTCGACGAGCGCCTGATTCCACCGCGTCGTGACACATGTAGATTGTATCGTAAATGACGTCAATCGTTTGTCATCATATTTACTCAATATGCTTCGTTATGCTATCGTTTTATGAAGTGTATCTCTACTCTAAGTAGGCAGTGTCTAAAAAGCAACACACTTATGAAGCCTTGACGCCTTCTCATTTGATCGTGATTCTTCAGACGCTGCAGGGGCCGCATGGTCGAGGCGCACTCACAAACTTAAAAACGAGCTTCTGACAACAGTCTGTGCCGTATTTCTTTTTCTATTTATAACTTAGCGCATGGGCCAAAAACTAGTTTGTGATAAAGCTTTGCGTATACTGACAAATTTTGTTCGGGTAAATTCTGCATATTTATGCACACGAAATGTGTACTTATTTTATTACTCAGCTTTTACTGGTTTGTTTTGTATTGTAGACCTCTTTTGTTTGTTACGTATTTCGTTCAACTTTTTACAGTTGGCTTTTCTGTTGTTGTTTTTGTTCTTGTTGTTGCTGTTGTTGCTGCTGATATCTCTGTTGTTGTTGTTGCTGCTAATTTCGTCGATGTTGGTACTGCTGATATAATTGATGTTGTTATTGTTGCTGTTTTTGTTATTATAGTTGTTGTTGTTGCTGCTGTTGTTGTTATTGTTGTTATTGAGCACGTCGTTGATGTCGATAAGCTGTTCGCCCTACTAAACTAATGACTAATGGTGGTAGGTCTTTTTAAAGGTGGAGCACTTGATCCTCATTCAGAGTACCAAGGGGGGCTCTCGTGGTCTCGAGGTTAAGATGTTCAACTCTCATTCAAAATTCCCCCCTTCTGATCCGGATGGCAACGGAAACATTTTCTTCTCTAAAAGCTCTCGGACAGGGGCAAAAAATCTCGGAGGCCCCGTGTATAAGTTGCGCACTTTAAAGATCCCTTGGCGGTCCAAAATCGATAAGAGTAAGCTTCGGCCGCCACCCTGGCAAAATTCAAACTTTCCTACCAATTGAAAATATTTGGTGTGTCCCGCGCGCTCATATGACCCTGTGCAGTTGCGAGCGCCCTAAAACACTTACCAAAAATACATAATATATAAAAAAAAAATACATGTATATATTATATAATATAATATAAAAGTACCACAGCATCTCTTTGAGGGTTCGAACAAATATTCATGTCGTCATTGTTCGCATGATATCGACAGCGTTATCAGTGTGTTCGAAAATTCCACAAGAAGTACAATTCAGATCCCACTCAGATCTGAACTTTGAACTTCTGCTCGATAAATCAATTTTGTATTTGGAAACCGGCGTGCCAAATTCACGTTTATGTTGCTGTTGTTGTTTCTTGAAAAATAATTATTAGTTAGACAAACGAGTTTCACACCTGGCTTTCCATTCACCTTCTGTCCGCGCTCGTTTCAGGTTTTAAAGAAGGGCACTGTTTTATTTAGACTCAACTTACTTTTACGCTATTGTTTTTTTCCCTCACTTCTAAAAACAAACTTTTTATGTACTAATCTCTTAGATCTTAACGAATGTTGGCTTGGCTGCTACTTCGGAAAACACTCACAAACCGATCTTTAGAAACAGTTTGCTGGAAGTTCAAGGGCGCCACAGCAGTTTATTAAAAAAAATACGCTCTGTTCTGTCTCTCTGCCCGTCTTTCTTTTTACCTTGCACATAATTAAATGACCGCCAAGGTGTCGATGTCCTTCTCTTTACTTAAAGAAAGAAACTCAAACGGAAGCATTCATCTTTTTTTCCCAAATCCTCACATTAAGCATTCCTAAGTCAGATGATTTTAAGTGCAATCAAAATTAAGTGAACTTCTTTTAACGTATAAAAAAATAGTTCGCAGATGGTGGTAGGGCTACACTGGTAGGTCCTACTTTTTTACTTTCCCTTCTGTTGTCTTCGTCTGCCTGTCTTGCTTTTTCTTGGCCCTAAATTATCATTATTATGTCTATGTGCTTATATATATTCATACGAACAAATCAACTAAAATAGTCAAGTAATATGTCTCAGAACAGACAGCGGGCTGATTTACCTCAAAACCGCTCTTTGCACCCACAACGGTATACATGTACCCGACGAGGAGAAAAAGGAATTCTTCCAAAGACTTGCCAAGCACTTGGTTTGCTCTGACTTTTCGACTTGCAATAAATATACCGTGTCTGAAAGGGGGAACGGGGAAGGGGGGGGGGAGGGGGGGGGGGGGGCAAACCCATGTCATATGATTCTATGGAATAGAAAAGACGGCCACAGCGCATTAATCAGCCCTTTCGAAATTTGTAAAGTCATACTCGTGTGCTTATTTGAGCAGTTTCTTACTTGAGCACACTTAGACTGGTTTGACCTACCCCTCTCAGAAATGTCTGCAAAGTTAATTTTGTGCAAGCTATCACTGGAAGTGTGCCAGATGTGGCGGGTGGCAGGACATAGCTACCCTAGAATTACAAAGTTGTATCTGCTCTGTATCTAGTTTGAAAAAAATTGACGTAAAAAAATGTTGAATTTCACAACATGTCAAACCTTTTCGAAAACAATTCTATGACTATTTTCATGATGACTCCGAATAATCTTACGATTTTGATAGAGCAGGTTGAAGGTTTGGTTTCTGACGTTATTTTTCTCAGTAACTCAAAACGGCAAAAAATGTTAGATAAGACTTTGTAATTCCAAGGTAGCGACTTATGATTTGTCGTCACATATTCTATAGTGTTTTGGGTCGTTTATTGCACGCCATTATGCTATTTTCGGTATTGTGGCATTCGTCATTTTGTCGCCACCGCGTTTGAACCTGCAAATCATCGTGAGTTCCTGTTTTTTTTTATAGTTTGAATGTAAATATTTACCCCCCCCCCCTTTCCAGCGGGTCGTTGGAGGGCGCCACTGGCAGGTCCTACATCTTTATATTAAAGTACTTACCTGTTGTTGTTTTTGTCTCTCTGTCTTATTTATCTCAGCACCAAATGGCCACTATTGTCTCAATGTACTTGCCTTTACTCAAACATACCAACAAACAAACAAACAAACAAACAAACAAACAAACTACCTCCATTTCTCTCCAAGAATCGACTCAGACAAGGTCTCTTAAGAAGGCAGGTTGCGTCTCGCCTGACTGTTAGGGTTAATCTAAGATGAAATAGACCCTGCTTTCCTGCATACTTCTCCCCACAAGAATCGTACTCATATCTGTCGCATGGCACGGGTAATAACCTAAACATTACACCTCTGACACTTCTTCTTCTTTTTTTTTGCGCAAGTGGCTATTCTCCGGAACCGCGCCGGTCAATAGATCGATGGCTATTCTCCAGCGACTCGTATACTTGCACATGTCGCTTCTCCACAGCTTTCCATCTCCCCTGTCGGCACTTTGTGGCCATTATTGTTGCAACTGAGTTCAGTGCCAGATTCGCCTTCTTGTACTTCTGGTTGTGACTGAGGGTTGTTGGCGTTTCTGGTGCTGTCACCTCTGACACAGAAATTCCTCCTTCTTCCGTCACTTGAGTTTTCATTGAGTAGTGGTTGCGGGTTGTTTTTTTTTTTGGGGGGAGGGGGTGGGGGTGAAACTGTCTTAACTTCTTTTATCCACCGAGATCTAAACAGGGGACGGGGCGCGCTCTGCGGACTCAGTTGGTGTCTTGCTGGACTACGGAGCGAACAGCCCTGGCTCGAATTCCTAAAATGAGTTTTGAATTCTGGTTGTTCTGTTGTGGAGTGTTCAAAGGCCCCCAACCCAGTTGGCTCGGTTTTTATCGGAGATGGACGTTGAGTTCAGTGATCCCGCCACTAGTAGCTTCGTTAGTCTAGTGGTTAGGCTACCGGACTCGAAATCGTGAGGTTGCAGGTTCGGGGGTTCGAACCTTGGCCCGACGTTGTGTCCTTGGGAAAGGCACTTTACTCGAATTTTCCCCACTTCACCGTGGTGAAAATGGGTACCCAGCTATAGACAGTGAAAGATCTTGTCAGTTTGTTAGTGTTTGAGCGCTTAACCAGCTGCTTGC